GGAGGAAGAGAGAGATACAGAGACCCGGACAAACTTCTGACATTTATTTTATTTATTTTTTTTTAGAGAGATTTCTGCTATAGGGCTGGAGAGACAGAGACAGACAGAAAGTGAGAACCCGCCCCCCTCGGGGGGTGGCTATGTCACAATCTCTTCTCCTCCGTTCTTCTCTTGGGATTTTGGGCACACACACATGCACCTGGCACAGCTTTCCACTACATGGGAGTCTGACGTAACCATTACGCCCTCTGCTGGCCCCGCTGACATCTTACTTTTTAACCTGGGAGTGGTGAGTCTTCATGCTCTCTAAAGTAACCTGAAATCGGAAGCTAACCTCCCTTTCCCTAGTGAGCTGAGATGGAGTTTACTCACCTAACTTGGCTCCTTTTCGGAGAAGTGCAACCACTACAGATGTGTTTCGACAACCAATGGCTCTGTCCAAGGGGCGCATGCCGCTGTGGTCCACATGCTCGATCACCGCTCCTTTCTCCACCAGATACAGCACCTGCAGCGGGGAGAGCAGAGCCTGAGGGGCAGCTTCACGCAGGGGTGCTCCACTCGCCATCTCGGCCTCTGGACACCAGGGCGGAGGGGCTCAACTTCATTCCTCTTTAAATGCCACTGCCATTAGGAACCCTAGAATGGAAAGGAGATTGACACAAGAGAGAGAAGAAGAGCTGCAATCCACAGTTCATGCCTGCTCGGGAAAGTGGCCTTGCCCTCAGTGATGATGGGAGCAGGGGGCTCCCAGGAAGGTCCTGTCGTGCACACGAACCAGGTGGGCATGCGTGCACATGGCCAGGATCTGTCTCTGCCTCACCCATGTCCCAGGCTACAGACATGACAGTCCCATCTCTACCTGATTAGAAAGCAGCTTCTCCAGTGAGCTCCAGCACGCTGGCAGGTGACAGTGAAAGGCACTTGACACACGCAGAGCCACACAGCCCGCGTGCTGAAAGCAGGAAAGACGAGCAGCTGCGGACAGACAGACCTGCATAACTCACCGAGAGACCTGAAGAACACCAGGGCTGTACAGATGGCCAGTCTGAGACCCGAGCACTAGGACTGACTGGATGCCATGAAACAGCCATCGTGTGGACCGAACAAGGAATGGCAGGAGCAATCCACTCAAATGTCTCTATCTACTGGAAGAAAGGCCTGTAGCCAGTTAGGATTTTCACATGGGTCTGACAGGACAGACTTCCACCACCTATTCAAAATGCCACCAGAGGGGATATCTGGAACACAGAAAGAACTCTACAATCAATAAAAAAAACTTAAACTTAATTCTAAAAATGGGCGAAGACTTGAATAGACATTACTCCTAAGAAGATACATCAATGGCCAGCAACGATGTGAAAAGAAGCTTAAGATTCAGTAATCATTAGGGAAATGCAAATCGAAAACAGTGAGTTCTCAACTCAAACCCACTAAGATGACTACTAGAAAAAAGTAACCAAAAATAAGTGTTGGTGGGGATGTGGAAAAAACGGGACCCTTTAACTGTTGGGAGGAATGAAAAAATGGTACAACCACTGTGGAAAACAGTATGAAGGGTCCTCAAAAAAAAAAAAAAAAAAAAAAATACCAGTAATGTATAACGAGGACTCAAGGACCAGGGAAAGCGCCCAGACCTGGCTCCCCCGGGGGGGGG